CACAAGGGTATATTATATAACTAGTTGCTAATAATTTTAAACACAACAGTAAACATCAGTGGAGTTACGCTATTATTAGTGAGTCTTAAGAATCATTAAATTTACATTATAGCTTATCACAAAAAAGGACACTACAAAGTTAAGTCACGTTGAACTTAATCGATCAAACTCGTTGATATCCAAAGATAAAATTACAAGTATATTTCATCGCTATACTCATAATTTCAAGTTTCGTCTATTATTTTTACTGTTTGTCAAATTCCTTACAAAAATTTGTTAGTTGAATTGTGTATCGATGCTTTTGATGAAGTTTTGTTCTCTGAGCCGGATGGTTTGGTCATGGAGCTTTCATCGTTCTTCTGAACGACATTATCAGCACAAACTTCAGACATCTGTCTGACGAAAGCTCCACGACCAAACCATCCAGCTCAGAGAACAAAACCCCATCAAAATCACCCACCTGAGATACAAATCTTCTCCACCATTTCAAGATCGATGATTGACCAACACTGTTTGATAGCCGATATAGAAATAAATGATGCATCATGATACTTTTTATTTTGCTGTAACAATATACTTTATCACTTTTATTTGCATGACAACTTATTTACGGAAACTAGCTATTACTTATTATAACTGTTTTTTTAATTGTATGCAGTGTAAGCAGCATTTTTATACACATGTCTCTTACATAACTGAAATCAATTTAAAATATGGGTTTATAGAGGTTGTAGTAATTTTTAATATTTGAATTCATCAGTCGATTTGAGCTAGACCACCGTTGAAAACCTGTAAATACTAGACTGCCCTTTCGTCCTAATATGGGATTTCACCGCATCCACTATTCTGAGAGTGGGACTTTAATCCACGACCTTCGGTCTCGCGTGTGAACACCTAACCTCGAACCCATTGGGTCGACATCCAATGGTGCTACTTGAATAATTAAACCATTGCAATAAATATTTTTTCAGCGAGACTATAATTTATGGACGATTCAATCAGATTTATGATAACAGATCTTGGATTTCGGCGCGAAATTCATTCATCTATTTGGATAAATAGCGTCTTGACATTTTAGCTGATGTCAGTTCGTGATGAAAAACCGAAGTTTAATTCCTAACCCTACTCATTAACAGTAAATCATAATTCAAATTCCTCATGCTGGTTTATAACTCTCATTTAGCCGTGGTAAGTAGGTAAACATTATCACGATCACTTGAGCGTCAATCAAAGGTCGTTCATAAGTTATAGTACCACCTATTTTCGGACGAGATTATAAACTTCCGTTAGATGTTAAATATAATCTTACAATGAATATGTACGTTTTACTTAAGATGGTAATTATATCATTTAGTTGATTGCCATTGTTGATTCAAAGATTGCTGTGATTGGTTTAATATTTTCCATATGTGTAGATAAATATCACTGTCTATTAGGGCAAAGCCTGATAATACAATTAAATTGTTATATCTAGAGCTTAGAATCTTGATATACGTAATGAATCTTTTTCTGCGAAGTTAATAATGATCTGCGTATATGCCAAATGTCATCTTCCCATTATTCATAGTGATTATTCAAAGTTACAATCTAAATCAGAATAATACTTTAAAAAATGACCGCTTATAAAGCTCAGCATTTATGCATGAAATCATTACAATTGTTCATTGTTTCAATCGACTTATCACATAAACAAAGATGAATAGTGGCTAGCAATGGAATCCAGGACACGCGTTTCATCTTATTTAGGACTAATTAAGATGAATCGTGTGTCAAACTGAATTCCATTTCTAACCACCATCCATCTCTGCTTATAATGCTTATGATTTGAAACGATATCTAGGTAATTCACATAGAATACATATATGTCAATAAGAGACTGACCTATGGCTATTAGGACTCAGTAGCTGAGTGGATAACGCGATGGCGTTTGAAGCGAACGGTACTAGGTTGGGGTCCCAGAGTGAACATCAACTCTGGGATGCAGGTGCATCCAGCTAGGAGTACCAAATAGGACCAAATAGGATTCCACTGCTAGCCACTATCCATCTTTGCTTAAAAATACCAAGATACTTATCATTTAGTTCAAATGAATGTTTTTATTTATCACTTGAATATTTAATATCAGAAGGCATTTTGTGGATATTATAGTAATTTCATTGATTGAAATCATGAGTCAGTTGAAGGTAGACCACCATGTAAGCAATCACCAGTGAAGTTCAACCAGGTCTGTTGTGAGATATCAACTCACTGAAGACAATGGTGTACGGTGGCTCAATTTCGTGGATTGGTTGAAGTTAGACATCGTTAAACATCGTTGGATGCCGGACGGCTCAGTGGTCTAGTGGTTAAGCGCTCGCGCGCGAGATTGATAGGTCCTGGGTTTAAATCTCGTGGGGTGCAGGACCGTGAATGCGCACTGCTGAGGAGTCCCATACTGGGGTGAAATGACCTTCTAGTGCTTCCAGGTTTTTCATGTTGATCTAGCTTCAACTGACTCATGATCTCAACCATTGAAATTTAAATATTTATTGATTATTTAATAATTTAAAAATATTTTACATAGAAAAGGATTCATCATAAAGAAGACACAATTATTTCTTAATTTCATTGTTAAATTATTTCTTTCATTCAACTGTAACTAATGTTAATTAATTATTGTTTATCACGAAAATATTATTACATAAATCATATTGTATTTATTTGTTATGTTATGAATAGATTTTATCAAAAGGGGGAATATTATAATCATTTCAATAGTTGAGATCATGAATCAATTGAATCTAGATCATTAGGTTTTTCTCAGTGATATTTCCTGAAGTTCTAGTTAGAAGCAATGATCAATGGAATTAAACTGGGTCTGTTGTGATATAGTAACTCACTGATGATAATGGTGGATGCGTCACTCAGTTTCGTAGATTAGTTGACGTTAAACATTAACATTGTTGGATGCCGGACGAATCAGTGGTATAGAGGTTAAGTGTTCACGTGCGAGACTGATAAGTCTTGTGTTCGAACCCTGCGAGATGGGATCGTGAATGCGCGCTGTTGAGGAGTCTCACAGTACGACGAAACGGTCGTCCAATGCTTCCAGACTTTCCATGATGATCTAGATTCAATTGATTCATGATCTCAACTATTGAAATTAATAGATTTTAATTTAAATGAAGAAATTATTCAAATATTTCATGAAATAGCACTTCTTTGAATAAGAAGAAAAAATATATTTAAAATGGATCATTAACATGGAAAGTGTTCAATGATGTAATACTTTATTGATTTAATTAATAAATTAATAAAAACGATAGTGTTCATGGAATATTTATTTATATCTGTCAACATCAATGGCACACACCAGATAATGAAACATATATATATTTAATTTACTAAATAATCTGCTTGACATGCAACCTATGTAACTAAATGTTTGGATTCTATGTGTTTACTCATTTATTTTAGAAAATATTCCAATCTAATCAGCTGAAATAATGTTTTTTACGTCCAAGTGAATATAGAAAGTTTAATTGATATCCTGAGAAGTGGAGACAGAACGAAGGTTTGAACAAGATCATGGATCGATGAAAGTTAGACACTAACATTTTTGGATGTGGGTTCAGTAGTTTATAGGTTAAGTGTTCACGTTCAAGACTGAAGGTTGTTGGTTCGAGCCCCGTATGTAGGATTGTGAATATGTACTGCGGAGGAATTCCATAATAACAGAATGAAACAACCATCCATTGCATCAAAATTTTAATGATGGTCTAGCTAAGATTGGCTGATAAATTCAACTGTCAGAATACTACAATCTTCACACATCCTTATACTCGTCTAGAGAAGTGCAGGAAATTTTTTTTACATAAATCTTAACAAATTAACCTAGCATTGATGTGTACACTAGGTTAGGATTAAAAGCTGCTGTTAGTATTTCGGTTCCGAAACCAAGATACAAGAGAATAAACATCACACTGACCATCAAGTGGTTTCAAAAGTATATATATATATTCATAGAATTGCACCAATGAAACGTAAAATATCAAACATCATACGCTTCACATTTCAAAGGATATTTATTACATATTATCTTACTGAAGTATATTCTTGACAATCTAAAAAGTTTCATAGAAAACATCATACCTTGATCTTAGACAACTATTAGAGACCCGTAAGATTTCAATGACTGTTTCATCTTAATTTTAGACTCTTCAATAGCGGAGATTCATGATCCCTTTTAAAAGAAAACAAATTCAAGACCTTCTATTTATTGTTTAATCTTTGAACCATTCAACTGGAATACACTAATGTACATGTTTGGTTCTATAATTTATTGATTTTATCAGCTATGTAAATAGTTCAAAACGAACAGATTTATTATGTTATTAACTTACCATGGTAACCTTTCAATAAATTTATAAAGAAAAATAATAATAATAATAATTAAGCATAGATACTAAAATGGCTAACTAAATGAAAGAATAACATCATTAGATGTTTCAAACAAAACATATACCTTCAATTGTCATATCTAACTTTACAAATATACCTAAATACATTATCTATTATACAGACAAAGGATTAGAGATCATTGTTGTTCCTTATATCCTATAATGTAATTACTGAATTAAATGATTAATTATATGATACATATCCATGTATATATGAATATGGATATGTGTATTGTCTGATCGGTATTTGCATTTCCATTATGATTGTACTTTTTTTTATAGTAACTAATGGAGTATATATATGTATGTTCATTTGATTAGTATTGAAGATTTCAATCATTTGTTAGTATGTAATCATAAGTATTGTTATGAATTATACAAATGAATTGAATATATTAATGATGAACTATGAAATGACAGATAGTTATTATGAACATGTCAAATACTGTTCAATGATATACATGTATATAAACATAGGTACATCTTGTTAGTTATTATACAGAAAATGATATACATATAATGGAATAATTCCTATTGGGAAATGTAATTTGTACACATTTGATACTATTTGTATTATTTTATGGGAATATCTTAGTGATAATCTTGTATGTACTTCATTTGTACTTATATAATATTACTTTAATTGTATAAATGATAATTATGAAAGACTCTATATATATATACACATATAGATAGATTAGTCTAGATTATTTTGACAAAAATAGTTATCCAAAAAGTTATTTGAAACTTAATAGAATAGTATTAATATCAGAAGGGGTTTTTGTGGATATTATAATCATTTTATTAGTTGAGGTCATGAGTCAATTGTAGCTAGATTAGCATGAAAAACCTGAAAGCATCGGATGGACATTTCGTCCTGTTGTGGGTCTCCTCAACAGTGTGCATCCAGGATATCGCTCCGCTAAATTCGAATCCAGGACTTATCAGTCTCGCATATGAACGCTTAACCTCTAGACCACTGAGCCAGCGGATATTCAACAGTGTTAATGTTTAATTCCAACTAATCCATGAAATTGAGTTACATATCCACCATTGCGTTCAATGAGTCACTATCTCACAACAGACCCTGATGATCTCAATTGATCATTGCTTCGCACTAGAACTTCAGGAAATACCTCTTGGAGACCGTCACTAGTGAGCATAGGCTGATTAATATCAGCAGGAGCTTTTGTGGATATTATAGTAATCTCAATAGTTGAGATTGCGCGAGAGATCGATAGATCTTGGAATCGAATCTCATGAGGCGGGGTCGTGGAGTCTATTAAGTACATTATGTAATATGTATATTAAGTTGTAAAGTGTTATAATTGAAAATAATAGTGATCTTAGAGTATATCATCTTAATAATGAATACCAATAACATGGAGGGATAGTCTATGATAAGTAATTAGTACACTTTACATCATTGTATTCTCATAGTTTTGAGTACATCTATTATTTACTAAATGATCAATTCAAATAAGTTTATGATTATAAATAGATGTTAAAGGAAGAATTTCAGGGAATATATTGCTGTCGAGAAAAGAGAATTGTCATAATAGATAAATGACATCTTTAGTTTTTCAATGTAAAATGAAAAGTTTAAATTTTCGTATATAAACCAATATGAAGATAAACTTATTTTCAAGAATGGAGTTCACCTAGTTGTAAAGTTTATGACATTATTGTATATGTATTTGCTACACACAAAAGTTAGTAAATACAAGTACTATATTGAATGAATATAATAAGGACATGGAATTGCTTCTTAGATATTATTTGTTTTTATTCTTCATTCTATAACTAATTATTTTATGAATGATATTTCCTATGATGTAATACGTTACTGACACTCATGATGTTCTCTCCGATGGGTGAGAGTTCTAAAAGACTTCATTCTTGTATCCACTGATAATCATAAAATGTCAAATTTTATCTAATTTTAGTTTGTTTCGGTATGGGGTTGTGGAGACCATTAAGTTTTTGATTGAGATCATAAATGGATTAATGTTAATACGACTGGAAGCATTGCACAGCCGTTTCATCCTATTGTGGGACTCCTCAACGATGCTCAGCCACGATACCGTGTGCGATATTCGAACCCTTCTATCTCGTATGCGAATGCCTAACCTCTAGACTTCTGAATCGGTCGGGATCCAATGGTGTTAATGTTTAACTTCAACCAATCCACAAAATTGCACGACCATCTATTGTAGTCAGATAGATACCTGTCTCTACCCAACACGGATTAGTTCCACTGTTCATTACTTCTTACTAGAACCCCGAGAATTCCCTCATGAAGCTAGTCACTAGTGAACATATGGTAATTATCATTATAGGGTTGTGGAGTTTATTAAGTTTTTGATTGATTGTATGGTGAAATTATTAAAATATATCTTAACCGTAGAGAAATTATCCGTCAAGTTGAACGTATTTATTCTATAGGAAACTGATCACTGGATATTTAATGGTTTATAGAAACTTGTCAACGATAACTAACGCTGTTTAATCGATTAACGACACAGTTACAAAACCTTTGCGAATTTAATTGCTGTTTGTGTACATCGATTCTTGTTAGCCTGTCTAACCTGATGAAGCTATCTGCCCGTAATATTTTGTCTGTCCTCTCTTTTCTGAAGTTTTTAAAAATAAGCATTATCATGATGGTAATATATTCTGTCTATATCGATTGTGGTCGGGTAGATTAATGAAATGGGGCAAAAGTTTTCTTTGATAAGAAACCAATTATACACTATTTGGAAGTAATTTACCTGACAATACAGTTTTTTTGTAGGTTGAAGAACGAACTGATTTTACTTAGATCATCATTGAACATCTAGAGGCAATGGACACTCATTTTGTCCTAATTTGAGGTTCTCTTGAAGAGTACATTCAGGACCCCACAACGGTTATAGAACCAATAATCTTCCGTCTCGCATTGAATGTCTAACTTCTGAACCACTGAACTGGGATCTAACATTATCTATGCCTAAATTCCATCGATCCGTAATATCAGTTGACTCTCTTTACTCTAAAGCTATAGAAGCTGCATCGTAAAGCTAATCATAAGTGAAAACATGATTTATGGGAATAGTAGTTTAAGCCTCGAGCTGACATTGATTGAACCACTATCGCGGGTTGCGCAATATCGTGAAATGATTAAAGTTAAACATTACGATTCCTAGATCCGGCACAGTAATCTAGAGGTTGGATGCTTGTATGCGAGGTTAGAGTTTCTTGATTCGGTTTCCGAATATGTAGCAGTAGATGTTCATCTCAGAGAAGTTCTATACTAGGACAGCAAAGCTTCCCTGTGATTTAAGCTTTGATATTTATTTAATTTTTCATTAGAATAACCAGTTTCTGACTTGAAAACAAACAACAACAAAAATCGAAAAACTGTCTTTAAATAATTTACATAATCAACATTCAAATAGTTAATATAATTACAAATAAATTATCTGATAATGATGTATTAAACTCTAGTCATTGATGATAATGTTCATTTTATAAATCAATTACCTAGATCTTTTTCATTATCGATTATCAGTAGATAATTTATAATTCGATTTGTAGCTCTTGTAGGGCTACTGCCAGTCCCAAGGCCACCCCAAGAGAGTAGGGTTAGAAGTGAGGTAGGCAACTCCATCCCATAGAAAACAACAAAATAAACAATTTAAACACTACCCTTTAAGTTGAAAGAAGAATTTTGAAGCTTCATGATGAAAGCCGAGATTCTTCGAGGCCGATACCTCTTCAAACAACCAGAGCAGCAAATAATATAGGTACGTTGAATGTTCGGACAATGTGGGAGACAGGGTGGAACAGATTAGCTACGGAAATGAGGAGATACAGCTTCGTCGGTGCTCAAAATAAGTGACAGGAAAAATGTGATGAAGCAGCTTATGCTTCTCTACGAGGGGAAACAGGAGTAAGTAAGTAAGTAAGTAAGTAAGACAATTTTCAACTAATTCCTAATTAAATTCTGTTATTTTTTTGGATCAATTTTCTGCATCTTTAAAAGTTGCTAAACTGTAGAATAATTTCTGTCAATGCGAGAACACTCAATAGGATTAATATTTTCATTAATTAGACTTACGGTACAGCTTAAATTCACATGGTGTTGTTTGCTTATATATTCCCATTGTTGTTTAGTACGAAATGCGCGTTCTGGATAACACTGATAGCCACTATCCATCTTTGCTTATCGAGCTAGTGAATTAAGGTAATATCGAGGCAATCTGTAACTGATGCACATATGCCAATAAGAGACTGATCAATTGCAGACCTAAATATCAATGGGAAGATTCAGGTAAACAATATCAAGTGAAGTAGTTATACCAAGTGAATTTAAACTTCACCCTATTACACAAGAAGGTGACTATCAGGAATCAGTTGCTAAATGGATGACACGATGGCGTTTGAAATGAACAATAGTGTGTCGGAGTCCCAGAGTGAAAACGAACTCTGTGATGCAGGTACATTCAACGGACGAGTCCCAAATAGGACGAAACTATCATCCTGGATTCCACTGTTGGCTCCTATCCATCATTGCTTACATTACAGATGTTTTAAATTTTGAAATGATCGACTGCTAACTTGTTGCCCTGCTTACAAAAGTAACAACAAATATTACAGTAAACCACATTCATTAAATTTCTGAATGATGTAATCGTGTGTATCATTCAATGTTCCATCTGTTTAGCATTCTCTCTATTAATTTCTTATCATACACAACAAAATATTACAAAGTTTTTTAAACAACTGAAAATGTCTGATATACATTTTGAGGTGGGGTAAACTGAAGCAATTTCAATGGAGTTTTGTTCTCTGAGCTGGTTGGTTTGGTCGTGGTGCAAACACAACGAAAGAATTGATTTGTATTGATTATGAGGGACTCATAGAAAGCTTTGGAAGTGAATATATATCCGGTATGACAAACGTAATTTACCACACTTATTAATAACTTATTTTCTATACGTTACTCACATATTTGACTAGGTGTCCATTCATATTCAACAATCTAATATCAAATTTAAAACGTTTTGTTTAAATTTGAATTGATGTTAAGTGCGTACTACTTATATTGACAGATATACGTAATATATAATACACTCACCTCCCCTTTAAACGGTCATGCTTGCAGTTGTTCTGCTCGTTGTGCCACTCTCTTTTATGCCCCAGTCTGTGGCACGCTCCCTGTCAAAATGTAGAATCCACATCTACGCTAACCTTCGTAACACTGTCAACCTACCGGGTCATCCACATCCGATGTCCGACCGGCAACTGCTTGTCTCAATGTTTTTCTCCGTTGACAGCAACTGAGACTTTACTTGACGTCGCCTTCCTGTACCAGACCGCTCAGCTATTACTTCCTCTCTAGATTTCGCGACGTCATACGCAGAACCGCATCCACTAAGCTCCCTTCCTGATGGCAACACAAAATGTAATGAATGAGAACTCAAGTAAGGACAACCAATTTATTATTTGTTCTTTGGTTAAATATGAAAACTATACATTAATTTCTACATTTGCAAATCTTCCATCAATTTCCTTTTACTTCATTCACAATTCTTCCACTTCTCAATTTCTTTCAGTTTTCTTAAGTTCGATCTTCTCAACCTTTATTAGACAGACAATTCACTTGTGATCAGTGTTACATACTACTTATATCAGTCAACATAAGTAGCATGTACCACAGATATCATGAATCAAATTTTAATTAGTTTTCTGAGAACTTTCGTTTTTTTTAATCACTATTTTAACTGATGTATATGATTATTTGAAATGAAACGTTCTTTTTACTGCGTAATATACATATACATTTCTTATTGTAGTTTATCCAACATAAATCAATTATGTCATGAAATAGAATACAGAAACTATGCCGGCTAATAGGCATCATCAGATTGATACAGAATGAAACGCAATATGTAAAACAAAAAAATGTATAGAGGTAAGTTGTTTAAAAGACTTATCTGATAAATGGTTTTGAATGGACATTTATTATAGAAAATATAATAATGCAAGTCAACATTTTAAAAACAATATTTTCTTAGAGGAAGGATTAAAACAACATGTTGAATTAAGGTAGATCTAGTGTACGAGGTACATATGGGACGACGAAACACTCATCCTGGATTTAATTGCTAATCACCATTCATCTATGCTTCATTTAACTGAAAATACAATAGTGCTGAATACAAATGATGAGTTCTGATTTTTATATAATTAAAGCTTAAACAAATGTAATTATCATAAGAGATTTTGTGAGGATTGTAGTAACTTCAATAGTTTAGACCATGAGTCACTTGATGCTAGACCACCACGAACAACCTGGAAGCACCAAAAATTCGTTTCGTCCTACTGTAAGACTCCTCAACAGTGCGCATCAATGATCCCGCCTCGAACCCAGAACTTATCAGTCTCGCACAAAAGCACTTAACCATTAGACCACTGAACCAGCCGGTATCCAATGAAACAGCTTTCCAGTGCTTCCATAATTATCAGAAGGTGTTTTGTGGAGATTTTAGAAATCTCAACAGTTGAAGTCATGAGTCCCATACTAGAACGAAACGGCTGTCCAGTGCTTTCAGGTTTTCCATGGTGGTCTAGCTTCAACTGACTCATGATTTCAACTACTGAAATTTCTAAAATCTCCACAAAACCCTTTTCTGATAATATTCATTTCCTCACTAGTGACTGACTTCAAGAGGCATTTCCTGAAGTTCGAGTGACAATCCGTTACCAGTGGAGTTCAACCAGGTCTGTTGTGAGATATCAGCTCACTGAAGACAATGATGTACAGTGGCACAATTTCGTGGATTGGTTGAAGTTAGATATTACCACTTTTGGATTTCGGCCGCCTTAGTGGTCTAATGTTTAAGCAAGCGGACTCCACACTGATAGCTCCTGGGTTTAAATCTCGTGGCCAGCAAGATCGTGGATGCGCACTGCTGAGGAGTCCCAGATTAAGGCGAAACGGCCGTTCAGCGCTTCCAGGTTTTCCATGGTGGTTTAGCTTCCATAATTGTCTAACTTCAATTGACTCATAATCTCAACTATTAAAATTAGTGAAATATCCATAAAATCCCTACTAACACGTATATCAATTTAATGTATTATTTCTTATTTATTATTATAGTAAGTGTTTTACAGCTGATTTAATCAATAATTATTTATAGGTATTTATAGGTATTTATAGGTATTTTAAAATACTCTTTTTTTCTCTTCAATGTTGATTAGAAACGATTCACTTATAAAATGATTAAATGAAATTAAGGTTGACATTTGTATTGAAAATTGTGAATAATAGTGAGAAATTAGGTGGAACTAGTGAATTTTCTATTCATTAAAGCATATCATAATGTTGAGATATTGATAGTTGTATATGAATAAGGTTATGAAAACAGTTAGACTAATATATATATATATATATATATATATATATATATATATATATATATATATATATATAGATAGATAGATAGATAGATAGATAGATAGATAGATAGATGTGTGGATAGATAGATAGATGTATGGATAGATAGATAGATAGATAGATAGATAGATGTGTGGATAGATAGATAGATGTATGGATAGATAGATAGATAGATAGATAGATAGATAGATAGATAGATAGATGTGTGGATAGATAGATAGATGTATGGATAGATAGATAGATAGATAGATAGATAGATAGATAGATAGATAGATAGATAGATGTGTGGATAGATAGATAGATGTATGGATAGATAGATAGATAGATAGATGTGTGGATAGATAGATAGATGTATGGATAGATAGATAGATAGATAGATAGATAGATAGATAGATAGATGTGTGGATAGATAGATAGATAGATAGATAGATAGATAGATAGATAGATAGATAGATAGATAGGTAGGTAGATACGTAATGGCAGTTCACTGTTTGTATGTAGAAAAAGGTAATGAATTTCTATAAAAAATCATTTGCAATATTTTACTGATTGGAGAAAGAATATGTTAGGACGGTCCACAAGTGAACTCGAGGTAGATATAAGAAGCTCAGAAAGAACTGAAGATATTCCATTTAATCATCTTTTGGAAGAATATCCTAGAATCTCTACAAGTAGCTTCTCAATTGGAAAATGCTAATAAACCCCTGTGTTCGGATTGACTAGCCATTATGATGATTTCGTTTTTCCTAAAAAAACCTATAAATACCTGACAGTTTTGTACTATAATTTGACACTGTCTGGAATAGCATTATTTTCACTTGTCTTTTTTCTTCTTTTTTACTGTAGAAGTTTGTTTTCTGATATTATACAAAAATAATAGTCTATGCTTGGTTGTGTGTAGAACCTATTTGATAGCGAGTAGTCAATTAAATCGGCTTTTTAATGATAACTCAGACTCTGTATGTAATACTGTTGTGCGTGCTATTTATATTGACGTAAGTAGTATATAATGCGAGTCAGGAATGTAATGTCTGGCGGCAGAAGATTGAGAACATCAAGAAGAGAAGAACGGAAATAGAAAGCACTTATTATAGATATCCAAGAACAATGAAGTCCAAGACAATTATTGAACATTTTGCAAATTAGGTATTATAGAATGGTTTTTCTATTTTACCAAGTAACTGTAATTTTGTGCAAAATATTATTCGGTTGTCCTCACTTGTGTTCTCCTTCACTACGATACTATTATGGAATTGTTCTTTATGTGTCTGGTAGTCATGACATAAAGTACTTAATGTGTAGACATATTGTATTAACTTCACTAGAATACGGTTCATATAATTGACTTTATACCGAATAACTTTAAATTCATTAGGTATTGTTTGTTTGGATCGTTTCATTGATATGTTTAGGGCTGCGACTAATCAGTCACTTATTGGTATACGTTTATCCAGTGTGAATTGAGAACTTGACGTAATATCGACGGAATCTGAGAGTGATCAGTTACAATCTTATTTGTAAGGGATGATGATAATGATTGGTTATTTACTTAGTCATATTTGAAGATAATCTGACAGCCGTTAGATGAGTTATATATAGTCCTATCCTTATTATTATTATTATTGATTGTTGTCGGTTTTTGGTGTGGAAATATATTTACTCTCTAGTCAGGCTAATCATGTGTTCATGATCTGAATTGTGTTGAAGTCATATAGAGTTGACATTGGAAGGGAATTTAGTGTAGATATTCGTCTAAGGCAAATTAACATTCCATTAATGTAGACGACGAAACTCCTGCCGTTATAACACAGTCCTAAACATCAATGAGAAGATTCAACTAAACGATGCCAAGTAAATTTAAACTTCACTCCATTGAATGAGCTAGTGACTATCATGATTCAGCCGCTAAGTGGATGACGCGATGGCGTCTGAAACGAACGACACTGAGTTCAGGTCCCGGATGCAGGTACGCCCAGCTGACAAGTCTCAAATAGTGAGAAACGTGCTTCCTGGATTCCACCACTAACTATCATCCATCTTTATTTATAACTCAATATCTTTGTTACACATAAACTGAAATGCACAAATATCATTTGATTGAATGGTAATGTCTTGTTAGATATGATATATGTGTTCACGAAGCTTGATCAATATGTTATTTTTCACAAGTATGAAATCTACTTTACTAGAGCATAAGATTTAACGTCAAGACATAATTTGACTACTTTTCTGACCAAAAAGTGTTTATTAACTGATTATCATTACTGAATTCAAACTTGCTATTCAGTAGATACTTTGTTTTTATATTGGAAGTAATTGTTGCAACATGATCGATAGCATTCGATCTGCACTAATAAGGACTAGACAAGCATGAGATTGATCACCACCCAGTGATCAATCAATTGTGATTACATCTCAGTCCTACAGGAGGTTAGTCACGGCTCGGATAGCTCAGTGGTAACGTCTCTGACTGTGAAGCTGGGTGACACGAGATCGAATCCGCCAGGGAGCACCAGTTTCCTCAAGATTACAGGTACACCTTGCTGACGAGTGCCAAGTAGCACGAAACCCGGGTCCAGGGTTTCCTGTTGACTACCTCCAACCACCATCTAATCTCAATACATAGTGCCCGCAGTGTCGAGTCACCTAGACTGGTGGCCACATTGCAACATGATCGATAGAATTCGATCTGCACTAATAAGGACTAGACAAGCATGAGATTGATCACCACCCAGTGATCAATCAATTGTGAAGTAATTGTTGTTCCCCATCAAGTGATCATCATCTATAAATATGAGAAAAGAAATATGTTGAAGAAAACATTACAATTAATTATGAAGTGATTATCTATATGATAAAGAATCAAATTTTTAATGATAGGCTGTTAACTCTAGTAAAGTTTCAATCAATTACTTTTACATAGAAGTATGACTTACAATTAGGTATATATATATATATATATATATATATATATATATATATATCGCTTCTTCGGCCTACTTTGCCTTCTCAATGTATCACAAATAATATATAATGTATATGAACATTCAGCGAGGCGGTTACATTTAGGATTGATTGAAATTAGACATTAACACCGTTGGATCCCGGCCGTCTCAGTGGTCTAGAGGTTAAGCGTTCACGCACAAGATCGATATGTCCTGAATTTGAATCTTGTGAGGCAGGATTATGGATGCACACTGCTCAAGAGTCCCATACTGGGACGAAACAACTGTCCAATACTTCCAGATTTTCCATGATAGCTTTAAGTGACTCATGAATTCAACTACTAAACAAATACATCCAATTGATCATTGTATTCTCAAGGATTTATTCCCAACTAGAAAACCATACTAACTACAATTATTATTTTATTATTTTATTTGAACACATAGATATTAGTAAAAGAAGGCACTAGATACATATGCCCCACACAAATCTCAATAGATTTGTGTATGGACTGTGATACTGCCCGGTTACCCAGACCGAAGCAGGTGGTTTTCTTAGAGGGCCACACCCGAAGCCTTCGACCTAAACGTCTGACCTACAAGGCGATAGGGTATCGTAAGGAGATGCAGTCTCATGGTAGTCGGTGAACAACGATTGGTTCATTCGCCATTTGTTCCTTCAGGATATTGGAGCTCATGTGCACCATGGGTTTGGAATCGGGGTTTTCCAACTTCCTTGGGTGGACTCTCCGTGTCCACAAAATCGGTTAAAGCGCCGGACTTTCGCTTTTGGTCCTCTCAATTTCGTAAACAACACCCTCGCCACGAGAAGGCAGTGAGTAGGACTTCTCTGGCATAGATTATATACGCGTGGCCATGTGAGAGCATTTCTCGAGGGTGAGCTGACTCTCTCCACTCTCGGCCATACTAGGGCTTTTAACTCAAACTCTTACACATTATAAAAGCAAATTTTATGCAATGAATAATTTTCTTTCTAAAAAGCGTTACAAAATAATTACCGACACATTTATGAAACAAAAAAAGAAAACGACAACCAAAAGATAATCAATGTAGAAAAATGTTCACAAAATGAATAAAAGGAAAGAGAATTAACAATATGGGAACAATATACAACATTAAATGTTCAATCAATAAATGATTTTAGTTGAAAATAAAAAAAAATAAAATAAAATAATTTTTTATGACACGCTAAAAACTGGTTTACAAATAGATTAACATATATGTTAATTCCAAGAACAACAACAACAACGGCAATAACAACAATTTCATAATGCTCCATCGTTTTTAAATAAATTAATTGAAATAATTGTTAATTATTGGAAAAACAAACAACTGATAGGTCCTTGGTTCGAATCTCGCGCGGTGAGGGTTCGTGTATACGCACTGCCGAGGAGCCCCATACTAAGACGAAACGGCCGTCCAGTGCTTCCAGGTTTTCCATGATGATCTAGCTTCAATTGACTCATGATTTCAATCGGCATAATTTAATAGTTGAATTCATGAGTCGATTTAAATTAGATCACTAGTGAAATTCTGGAAGTAATGGATGATCAATTCGTCCTAGTATGGAACTCATCAAAGATATCAAATTAATGGTTTAGAGGTTAAGCGTTCGTTCACGGGATCAAAGGTCATGGATACGAATCTCATGTACATTTGCATTGTTGAGAAGTCCAATACTATAACGAGATGGCTGTTCTTTGCTTTCAGGTTTTCAATGGTTGTGAATTTAACTGTAAGAATAATACGCCCCCAAATACCCTGATACGGCTGAGGGTGGGGAGAGTCCGCTCTCACTCTCCAAATGCTCTCACATGGCAACACGTATATAACCTCTGCCAGAGAAGTCCTACTCACTGCCTTCTCGTGGTGGAGGTGTTTTTACAAAATTGAAAGGATGAAAAGGGAATGTTCGGCGCTTTAACCGTGTTTGATACTCCTAGGGAAGTTGGAAAACCGCGATTTCAATCCAAGTTGCACATGAGCTCCAGTATCCTGAAGGAACAAATGGCTTATGAACCAATCGTTGTTCAACGACTACCATGAGACTGCATTTCTTGGCGTTGCTCCACTACCTTGTAGATCAGACCTTTATGTCTAAGGCTCCGGATGTGGTCCTCTAAGAAAACCACCTGCTTCGGTTTGGGTATCCGGGCAGTTTCACAACCTATACACAAATCAAGTGACTTGTATTCGGTGCCTCTTTGTACCAATATTTATGTGTTCAAATAAATAAAATGAATAAACAATCTCCAGAAACCCCCATTTTGATAAAAACACAGTTGACAGAATATTTCCTGGTGTTTAAGATGGGATTCATTTTGAAATTTTTATTGGGCGTGTTTCTTCAGTCATAACGAAAGATACCTAATATCAGTCAATTATTTGTAGGTATTCAACAATATCATATTATAATATTTATTATACTTAGTGATACAACTCTATTACATCAAAAGTATGAAAATAGAAAGAAAGATTAGTTTTATAATGAATTCGCTAAGAATTTGTTGTGTTTTTCCGACAGATGCTCATTGGGGATCGAATCAGTACAAAGTGCCTATACAGTCCCCTGACTTTGCTATCTCATTTACAGTAACAATAGTCAGAGTTTGGTTTCAACATGTATGCCTAAAAGACAGCTCAATCATTCAAGAACCACTTTACCGTGATCATGTCCATTTAAATTGTTATGCATTATGGTTCCGTCAATTATCACCAACTTATAACCTTGTTCCTGTCCTAAACCAATGACACATGAACCAGTAATAGCAACCTTGCGTCAAATCAGAACCCTTATTGGTCGTTATCGCTTAGCCCTGCCTTTCAGGTCCACAACACAATCTCAGCCTTCGCTATATGGATCGTATATTTCAGACATAGTTGGTTTATATACAAGCAAACCGGACCACATCACACTATGAAATGGGAAATAACAATTATACAAAACCAAGCCAAAAGTGGCTATGAGTGTCAGAGACTCTAATCAATAGATTAGGAATAACGTAAGAATCCATGATACATGTTTAGAGCGAACAGTGCTGAGCTTGAGTCCTAGAATGAACATCAGCTGTGCGATCCAGGTACATTCAGCAGATGAACGGTAAATAAGACGAACAAGATTCCTAGATTCCGCTGATAACAGCTATCAATCTCTAACTAAAATATGCGCATTCTCTTTTCAATTTTTATTACCATGTTATTATCGTAACAGACTGTTCAGATTTCATTTAACATTACACCATTTAAACGTTTTCATTTAAGATTATATACTCATCATTTATCTGATGTTTAGGTTTTTGAACATTAGACTGGAAAGTCTTTACGAATTCGAATGTAAGACATTATAGGACAGATAACAAAGTATTATGGTACGGTCAATGCGATGAAATTATTGACAGTAACAATGAAAGCTTTCTGATTGAATAATTTAGATTGCTGTATGCAATTTCATCAATCACACTATTGATAAAGTTTTAGTGGCCCTATATTTGACTCCAGTTAGATCGAACGAATGATCGTTATCGAATGATTTCTGTTGAAATATACATCCTGGCTACCCTCGCATATAATCATCGACTTAAATAGCGTCAGTGAACAACAGAATTAAATAAGCCAAATACTGGAATGGATTGTTGAATACAATCGTTGATCGAATAGTAAAGCAAAATAAAATGACGCGCAATGATGAAAGCAAGTGAGCCAATTCAACTTAGCCAAGCGTGAATCGATGCTTATAGTCGAACAAAAATAAGTTACGGACATAATCAATAGGATAAGTAAAAAGCATACATACGATTACATAAAACAGTCAGGATTTTTAGCGAACAAGTGACAGGGTAAAAATATGGCCTGAGAATAATAGATTGTTTGCAGTAATTTTATGTAGTGTGTGCTACTTACGTCGACAGATATAAATAGTATGTATCATCAGTCGAAAAGTAAATGCCTGGAGGCAGAAGGTTGAGAAGATTGGAGAGAATAGAAAGAGAACAGAGAGTGATTAATATAGAAATGAGGAGACAATGAAGTCTGCCACATTTGATTGATATTTTGCAAATGAAGTATCTACTATATGATTCACAGATTTTACTAACATATTCTATGTTCTCGTTCGCTACAGTGATAGTTTATCTGATATGGTTTACAATGAAGAATGAAATAAAAAATCATAACTTATGCCAAATTTAAGCAAGTGAAATAATTGAGTTTATTCACAGTTAGGAAATGGATTTATTATAAAAAGGAATGGCAGACTGTTACTAGTTCGTTGTTCGATACAAATCTTGATCACAATTATGTTACTTTTAACGAAGACTTTCACGAATTCTCTGTTAATATTCTTTGATTATTTAATGTAAACTCTCGTGATTTATGAAGTTGAAGATTGTTGATTGGGAATTTCAAACCTAAATTTCTCCTTAGCTAATACTCGTCAATAAAGTCTTCCAAAAATCATTCAGGGATTAATGCTCTTTGTGAAGTTCCGTCAATACAAAGAACAAGTCAAACATGAAATTGATCACTAGTCAGTTTTTAGCTTATGTAGGTTTATATTTTTCAGTATTCTATATCTTCATATATCTTCATAAATTGTAAGGTGAAATATGTAGTGTTTTTTCTACTATTTCACTCACAATAGTAGGTAATATGATGCAGAAAGAAAATAATTTCATATGTTCGATAATGCAGTTTTTGTAATATGAAGCTCTTGGACTAGTAACCATGTTTCTACATATGAATAAATACATTTGATATTGTTCTACTTGAATCTTCCCATTGAGGTTTAAGACTGCAATTGATCAGTTTGTTACTGGCATAAGTGCAAACTGTGCGTATTGCCTCGATATTGCCATAATTCCACTCAGTAGCTGACTGGATAACGCGATGGCGTTTGAAGCGAACGGTACTGGGTTCGAGTCCCAGAGTGAACATTAACTCTGAGATGCAAGTATATCCAGCTGATGAGTCCCAAATAGAATGAAACGCGCGTCCTGGATTCCACTGTTAGCCACTATCCATCTTTGATTATATGAATAAATAGTTGACAATGACAATATAATTCATCTAAGTTATTGTGTACAAAATGGTTATTTCAATATTTCTGTATACCTACAGAATATAATTTCTATAAGGTATGATTTATCTACACCTCTGAAATGATAACTTGTATAGAGTTGTATTCGGATAAAAAATAAACAGTGGTTGTTTTTCTACACACCTTTGATCAAGTTTATATTGTCGGGTAGATAACTTAACGTATACAGATCTATATTTGCTAATGTTAACGTATATCCTTGATACTACTTCGTTAATTGTTATTCATGCCAACAATTCGCTATCATAATTTTATTTGTTTGTTTGTTATGTAGTTGGCTTTAGGCTTTATTATTCTTTATAATTATGACATACTTAAATACGGTAAAATTCATCATTGTTACTCGCAATAAATCTGTATTGCATTGTACACTACTAATCGTAATATGATTAACAAAATAACGACACTGGAGTGGACACTATTTACAAGATTGATAGTAAATAATACGTTGCGGAACGTGGCCTCAAAGTTGTCACACTTGTTAGACTGTGTGAAGAATTTTAGTGCATTGAAGGCATGGCGTGAGTAGAACATTTGATGACCAGACAAGAAAACAGTTTGAATCGCAGAAAACATTAGAGAATGTAATGGATAATCAAAGGCTGTGTATATGTATTGATGTGAATCTTTTGTAGTTTTTCATAATAAACACTTTTTCGGTCTATTGACATGTTCTTCATCAGAAAACAGTAACTGTCATTTATCAAGCAATGTATCACAATGTATGATGTATCTGTATTGCTGTTAGATGTAGGTTTGTTTGAGAGATTGATTTTTCTAATGCATAAAAATATTTTATGAGTTCACTGTAAATGAGAAAATCAAAGAACGTTTAAGTAGTTAAAACGCATAAAACAGAAATCGTTTACAAATAGTTTTTCAGGTGCATTGGTTGTTTGTATCTTCCCATTGATGCTTAGAACTGTAATTGCCTCGATATTGCCTTAATTCACAAACATATTAAGCAAAGATGGACGCGCGTTTCGTCCTATTTAGGACTCGTCATCCGAATGTACCTGCATCTCACAAATGATGTTCAATCGAGAACTCGAACGCTGTATCATTCTCTTCAATTGCCATCATGCTGTCCATATAGCTACTGAGTCTTGATAGCCACTTGCTTATGCAATAGAGTGCAAAGACGAGTTTCAAACGGGATGCTGTCCTTGCTTCACCAATTCTCGCCTTTAAGTCTGCATCCGATCTTTCTTGTTCATCGATGATTCTGTTCAGGTACGTGAAAGATTCCACCTCTTCCAGAGTTTCTCCATCGAATGTGATTGAGTTTGTGTTCTCTGTTTTGAACTCGAGGATGTTGCTTTTTCCTTTGTGTATGTTGAGGCCTACTGAATAAGAGGATTCCGTTACACTTTTTATCCTGACCTGCAATTGTTGATATGTATGGGTTAGGATAGCTGTTTCATCTGTAAAGTCCAAATAATCTAGTTGCATCCAACTTGTCAATTTAATTCCATGATTCTCGTCAGATGTGAAGGTCTTCATAATCCAGTCCAATACCAGAAGAAAATGAAATGAGAAGAGTAGGCAGCCTTTTACAATAAAAAAAGAATCAAATAGAGTTTAAACTCAAATCTAAAGATTGTTCCCATAAAAAAATCATTAGCATGAAATGAAGATCTGCATAAAAAATTCTTTTTTCTTATCAGAAAGGGTTTTTGTGGATGTTACAGCAATTTCAATAATTGAGATCATGAAACAATTGAAGCTAGACCACCACAGAAAACATGGAGGCACCGGATGGCTGTTTCGTTCGATAGGTCCTGGGTACTAATCCCGCCAGGTGGAATCGTGGATGTGCACTGTTGAGATTTCCCACAATCGGACAAAATATGCATCCAATGCTTTCAGGTTTTCCATAATGGTCTAGCTTCAATTGACTCATGATCTCAACTACTGAAATTACTATAATATCCACAAATCCCTTTCTCATACTAATTACCAATATACTCATCACTGACCGGCTTCAAGAGGTATTTCATGGAGTTCTAGTGAGAAGCAGTGACCAGTGTAATTAAACCGGATCCGTTTTGAGATAGTAACTCACTGAACACAATAGAGGATGTGTCGCTCAATTTCGTGGATTAGTTGAAGTTAGACATGAACATTGTAGAATCCCTACCGGCTCAGTGGTCGTACAAGTTAGGCGTTTGTGCATGAAACCAATAGGTCCTGAGTTCAAATCTGTCAAGGCGGAATCGTGAATAAGCACTGTTGAGGAGTCTCACAACTGGACGAAATGTCCATCCAATACTTCCAGACTTTTCATAATGGTCTAATCTCAATTGACTCATAATCTCAACTATTGAAATTTATTTATTTTTGACAGATATTTTTTTTTTAATCAGAAAAGGGTTTTTTGTGGATATTATAGTAATTTTAATAGTTGAGATTACGAGTCAATTGAAGCTAGACCATCATGGAAAACCTGGACGGCCGTTTCGTCCTATTGTGGAACTCCTTAGCAGTTCTTTCAGCAGACTTTCATCTAAATTAATAATTTTTTTAATGTTTTCGTTTGGTATTATGACCTATTGTATGATTAGTTTCTACATTTCCTAATACAATTAATTCAATTATAATAATTAACAATTTTCATTAGTGTACACTCAGTAATAATGATCATAGAATTGGGTTTTTTTGTTTGTTTTTTTTTAACCGGACATAGGAAACTGTATGGGTTAAGTGAGTTATATTGTAATAAAAAAATAAAATCGTTTGCTATTCGTTCGTTAAATGAATCTGCCCCAATTTTGTTGCTGTTATTGTCGTTGTCGTTGATGTTGTTGTTAGGAATTGATTGCATGACAACAGTCGTATATTGTTCTATTTATTTTATTATTGTTTAATATAGATGTTATTTATTATTTTATTATACAATAATGATAATTGACCTAATTCTATTTAGATTTTATATGTTATCATGCAATAATGAATAATAAATAGATTTAATAACTTTAGGAAAAAAAAAGGGTTTGGTGACTTTCTTTTCTTTTTTTTCTTTTTTACATCAATATGGTGAAATATTTCAATTAGATATTAAAAACTATTTACTTACTTACACCGGTTACTCCTAATGGAGGAGTATAGGCAGCTCCACCCAACACCATCCTGGACAATCCTTTCCAGTTTTTTTTTCATTCTTCTCATATCTGCTTTTATTTATTTTCC